TTTAGAGCTTGTAATTTTTCAAAAGAATTTGGAAATTTGAATAGTATCTGATATTTACAAGTGCCAACTAATGTAAACATTTAAAAAACACTGTAGGCATAATAAAAGTGTCCTGAAGCTTGATTTGCTCATTGCTGCCGGTTTGTGGGTGTTCTCATTGGACAGTAACTATGATTCTGTGAAGTAGACAGAAGGTAATTTTCTGTACAAACAAGGAAGCTGAGGCTCAGAAGCCATTATTCAACAGTTTATGAACTGCCTGTCCCACTAGGATGTGAGCTTCATGAAAGCAGGGTATTGTCTCTTTTCTACAATACTCATAGCCCAGCTCCTAGAATAGTTTCCGGTGCACATTGGACACTCAATAGCTATTGAATTAATGAGCGATGAACAAATAAAAAGAATTTAAATCACATGGCAAATAATATCTACATTTTTGTGTCACATATTCCTCATGTTTTTTTCTCATTTTGATATATACAACATTTTGGGAAAGTAACATTATTACCTCCATTTTATGGATAAGTAAACTGAGCCTCAGAGACACAAAGCAATTTGATTGAATTCATGTAACTCATAAGATGGAGAGTCAGAACCCAGATCTTCCTTGGATTGCTGCTTCATGTCACTGTTCCACAAAGCCACTCAGCTACCATAGTCATAAATATCCATATCACCCCATCCTCCCAAATATTGGCATTTTATTCTGCAGATTAGTGTAACATGTCTCTCTAGAACAAGTCTGCAAAATTTCTCTGTAGAAGGCCAGATACTAAATATTTTAGGCTTTGTGAGTCACATTTTCTCTGTTGCAAGTACTCTAATTGCCACTGCAGCCTGAAAGCAGCCAAAGGCAAATGTAAATAGGTGTGCAAATGCAAATGTGTATGGTTGTGTTCCAATAAAATTTTATTTACCAAAAGAGGCAGCTGCCAGATTTTGCTTGAGGATAGTAGTTTGCCAAACTCTGCCTTAGAAGACAGACAAATTACCTTATGGTTAAATTGCTAGCTAGCAACTTAAACTCTTTCTTAGTCTTTGGCTTGCCTTAATATTTCATAGCAGTGTTTGCTGTATACACCTTAAATTACTCTGAAGTTGCAGTGGTGTGCTAGTAAATGTTTAACAACTGGTTCCCTCAGGGGATCTAAAAAGTTTTGATGTGTAGCTTACCCATTTATGATTCCTGTGGCATAAATACTCCCACCATGGTCAGTTTCAAGTCACCAAAGTGACATCACTGAACATGGTGTGGGATGACATGCAGTTGGAGCTAATGTGTAGGTTTGGATTCTTTTGTTAGAAGTGGCAGAAATCTCAACTAATCCCAACAGTAAGTAGAATCTAAAAATAAAAAAAAGTAGAATCTATTGTGTTGCCTAACAGGCTAGAGAGGGTGGCTGCATAATTGGTTAATTCAGTAGCTCAATGACATCATTGAAGGTCCCAGGTTATTTTCATCTGGGTCTTGGCTTATTGACTGTCCTCAAGCTAGTGTCCTTCATAGTTAAGAGTTGGTTGCTATAGATCCCGGTATCACATCCAGAATCTATAAGAAGAGAGGCTTGTTTCTTCTTCATGTCTTTTCTTAAGAACAAGGAAACGTTTCCCAGAGGACTTCTCTTCATAGCTCATTGGCTAGAATTACTTCCCATTCTGTGCCTCATCACTGACTGACATGGGAATGGGAGACCAATCCAAACCCATTTCCTGAACCAAGGGACTGGGCCCAGATGGCCACTGGAAACAGCAGATAGAGTTGAATTCGAACAAAGCCAGGGTTATGATGGAATAGAGGAAGAGATGGACTACCAGCTCTGTCTGCTCCAGCAGGCTGTGTGTGAAAGCAAAAATACAGGTATGTATTCAAAATCAGAGTTTTTCAAAATAAGAGTTTTTCCTTGAGTGTTTCATTGTGGGGAAGGAAGTAGATGACTGTTAAAGCTACTTATTTATGACTCAAAGTTATATTTTGGAGAAATTTATTCTGAAGCTCCAGAGTGTTAGAGACACCTTTAGAGGGTTAATTTTGCTCTGAAATTCCAAGTCAAGTCAGTGACCAAGCATGGTTCAGGGAAATACCAATGGTACCATTTAAAGAATTGCATTTATAGCTACGTCAGGCTATAATTCACATCATCCTCCTGGTGTGTCATCAGTAAGAATTATGTGTATAATTAGACAAAAATGTTTATGAATTTATACCAAGGAATAAGGAAATGTAGTAGAAGAAGTGCAGGACATTGGTTAGGAAAACTGGCCTTGCAATCAGACCAGGGTTCATAGCCCATTTTTGCTGCTTCACTATGTAAAAAATAATAAGGCAAATTACTTAACCTCTTTAACTTGAGTTTCTTTACCTATAAGATAAGGATAAAAAAATACCTATTCTTTTTTGTTCTTTTAAGGATTAAATGAGTTACTGTCTATAGTGATGCTTGCTAGGAACTTGGCCTGTGGCAGGTGCTTTGTAAACAGCAGCTCTATATCATTGTTATTTTCACTTAGCCCCAACAGCAGTATTTTGGCTATTACTAATCACCAGGCCAGTGTTTAGCAATATTATCATTTCCAATAATAACTTTTATTTTTCTCTTTGTCAGTAGGTTTAGTATTTATTCCAGTATTGGTCTCCCAATACTTTTGATATTATAGATTTATAATTTCAGTATAAAATTATAAATTTTTAATTTATAATTATAGATTTATAGTTTCTGTTGTCCACTTGATCACCTTTGTCAGTCTCCCCAAAGTCACTGAATGGTTAACAGGATGAAGATGGAGGCCTAAGGCTTCAAAGAGAGCAAACCTAAGTGTTATGTGTGGGAATCATTCTTTTCACCTTGGCCTCACCACCCCTGCTCTCTATGTACTCTCTGAAATCACAAGCCACCAGTTTGTTCCAGTGGCTTCAAAGATGCACGTTTACAAATTTCTGTTGTAAGCCATTTTCTTGAGAAAGTTGTGGTCTTAAAGTAAATGTTTTTTTTTTTTTTTTTTTTTTTTAGGCAATTTGTTTTGCCCATAACTTATCAGGTAGTACATAGTCTTTGTTTGTCAAATAATCCATACATTGTCATAGTTGAAATGACATTTCATTTAATTAATGTTAAGATTTCCTCCAGTGATCACAACAAAATTATAAAAGCAACTGGGTAATTTGTTCGATTCTGTAGAAAAAGTAGGTGTTGGAACTCTTCTTTTTCCTCTCAAAAAATTAATCCCTGACTCTAATTTAGCAGCCTGTTTGACAAGCTGTGGAATACCTTAAAGAAGCACCTTATCTCACAGTTTCTGCGGGGCCCGAATCCAGAAATAGCTTAGCTGGGTCCTTGGCTAAGGATATCACAAAGCTGCAGTCAGGTTGTCAGTGAGACTGTCCTTAACTGGAGGCTCAATTTAGGGGAAAATCTGCTTCCGGGCTCACTTGGGATGTTGGCAAAGAAGTGAAAAACAGGGCCCTGAGATCTTCAGGTGTTCTTGCTGTCTGTTGGAGGCTGCCCTCAGCATCTACAGGCTATCCACGGTTCTCTGCCAAATGGCTTTCTCCTAGGCATGCAACATGGCAGTTTGCTTCTTCAAGGACAGTGAGAGGGTGAGAGTGGCCAGCAGGCCTGAGTCTTATGTAATATGACGTGATTACGAGAGCCAGGTTCCATCACAGGTGCCATATTCTGTTGGATAGAAGCAAGTCACAGGTTCTCCCACAGTCAAGGGAAGGGATTACGTAAAAATGCAAACACCCAGAGCCGGGACCACAGGGGTAACTTAGAGCCTGCCCACCACAAGGAGCTTTGTGTATTGTGACCACTACTGAATGCTTAGTGCCCCAAAATGGTGCCTGACACATGTTAGGGATTCAGTAAATATTTACAGTTGAATGAATGAATGAATGAATGCAGATGTTACTTCCTTGAAGTATGTATTGCTAATGTTTTTTTCCAAGCCTGTGGCATACCTTTTGGTTTTGTCTATTAAGCACATGTTTTAATACAGAAATGTCAAATTTTAATTTAGACAAATTAACAATTTTTAAAATCTTGGTCTCAGGGAGTTCTCTTATCTAGAGAACAGATCAATATTTGCCTATATTTTCACCTAGATTTTTAACTACTTCTTTATTTTTCTAAATTTATCAATTTATCTGGAAGGTCAAGAGCTAAATGGAGAGTTGGACAGAATGTGGTGAATAATACTTTTATTCTTCACTGATTTTTAAAATTTTATTTAGATTGTTTAAAATATTATATACTAGCTTCTGGCTCCCTACTTTGTCTCGTTTGTTTGTCATTCTCTTCTTACTTCAATTACACACTTAAACATAGCATTTTTAAAAATGTTAAGAAGTTGCTGTCAGACTCATTCAGTATAATAATTAGGCTATGGAATAAGCTGTTGTAACGGAGAGACTCCAAAATACAGAGGCACAAATAAAATGGATGCTTGTTTATCTTTTGTGTAACAGTGAAGAGATGTGCAGAGTCCAGAGTACGAGGGCAGGTCTCCCCAGAGTCATCTGAGGACCCCGGCTGCTTCTGTCTTGTAGTGCTTCCAGCCCCTAGACTGATGTCCTGGTCTGTGTGGTTTAAGTGGTTTCATATCCACATCCATCTTCCAGTCTGTCAGAAGAGGGTGCTGGAAGTCCTTAAAAAGTACCTTTGCCTTTGAGTTGATGAACCAGATGTGGCACACATGACTTCTGCTCACATCCCTTTCATGGAGACTGCACTTTGTTGCCGCAACTATGTTCAAGAGAGGCTAGGGAAAATGGTATCAAATAGAGTAGACATGCATTTGACTAAAATTTGAGAAGTTCTATTATATTTTTAAAAAATAAAGCACATACCAAGAACAACAAATGGCCTGCCTCAGTCTAGTATTCATAGTTACAAATAATCATATTTAATAGGAAAGTAATGATCAATTTTTACCAAGTGAAAAAAAAATCAACCTTTGAACATAGCAAAGAGGTATAAATATATCCTGATTTTTGGTTTTAGATGGCGAGTAACCCATGTGCCACGTAGCACTCTATGCCAACCTTGAATGCCAACAGGAAGTCACTGGACAGCAAACTCTTTGAACATTATAACTTAGTTGTTGGAGCAACCTGGAAAAGAAGAAAAAAGAAAAGCCATGGCAAAAGTACACAGAGCTCGGTCTACCTCCCCTCCAGATGGAGGCTGGGGCTGGATGATTGTGGCTGGCTGTTTTCTTGTTACCATCTGCACCCGGGCGGTCACAAGGTAGGTAGAATTTTCTTCTTGACTTACGAAGATGACCTGGCCCCTCCCTCCCTCCCTCCCTTCCTTCCTCTTTCTCTCAATCTCACTCACTCTCTTTCTTTCATCTAGCTCTGTCATCAGGCTGGCATGCAGTGGTGCGGTCTCAGCTCACTGCAACCTCTTCCTCCCTGGTTCAAGCAATTCTCCTGCCTCAGCCTCCCAAGTAGCTGGGATTACAGGCATGTGCCACCATGCCCAGCTAATTTTTGTATTTTAGTAGAGATGGGGTTTCACCATGTTGGCCTGGATGGTCTCAATCTCCTGATCTCATGATCCACCCACCTCGGCCTCCCAAAGTGCTGGGATCACAGGCATGAGCCACCGCAGCCAGCCCTGTCTTTTCTTTTAAATCTCCTTCATTCTGTTTCTGAATCCATCATTGTGAAGGGGTGTGTGTGTGTGTGTGTGTGTGTGTGTGTGTGTGTGTGTTTCCGTTGCCTGCTCAAGTATCAAGTATCTTTTTCTTTGCAAAGTATGTGATTCTCTGGCACTTAGGAGTCCCAGATAGTGGTCTTTTCTATAATATCTGGTACTTAAACCTGGAGTCTTAGGACATTTTTAGACCAATGCTGTGACCATTCCAGCCATTCATTTTCATAAGCAGCTCCAGAGACGTGGAAATAATGTAACATGTATTTCTTTTTCACTCTTCATTAATATGAAATATGTAAAACTCATCACATATGAAATAACATGGGAAATGTCCTACAGTATTTTCATAATGAAATCACTTTTCTGAAGATTTTATTGGCAACTGCACACCTGGAAAGGTAAGTTAGCTAAAGCTGGCATAGCTCCAGGGGAGGGTAATATCATTTCTGCAAGTCTGTTTCTCCAGAATTTTAAAATCTGTCATTTTGATGATAAGTGTAAATTAAGATTGATTTTATTCATTAAAGTTTTACAAAGCTAATAGGATGTGTGATCTATATTTCATAAATCAAGAAAAACACCATGGGCAAACTGATAGCAAGAGATTATCATCATAATGGTGCGATGTGGCTTTAAGTCTAGGGATGAGGAAAAGGGGTGCCAGGTGACAAGAGTATGATCATAAAGTTTACAGTGAATATGTGAACATATCGCACAGTTAATCTTACACAGAGTTAGGGTATATATTCAACCAAGGCCAAAATAATCCTGGAAAACGCCTTGGCTCCCTAGGGCTCACTGAGCCTTTGGAAGCTTAAAACCTAGAATTTAAATTATTTTGCTTTATTTTGCCTTGTGGCTGTTGTGGTGAAGGCTGACTTGTAGGTTGAAGGACAGCGAAAGCATAGATACAGGGATTCTCTTATTCTTGCCTGCTCTCTTCTCCCTCTTTCTTTTCTCCAAGGTCACAGTGTTGAATATGCTTAAGATGCATGTACATTGAGACTCATCCATCTCATTTATATTTGGAGTAAATATGCATTGGAAACCTACATGTGTTAGTCTTTCCTCTACAAGTGCTCTCATTCAAATAGAAATCTTTATTTCTCTCCTCTGACAGCAGACCCTTACAAGAAAGTAATTTGGCCTAATTATCTGATGGCATCATCAATACAGGCATCAATATTCCTCCCATAACAAAGATACAATGCAGGATAGAACAAGATGTTTATATTCGCTACAGTAAGGGTTGGTTGATTATGTGTCATAATAAATTACAGATTTATTTAAAATAATGTAATTGATGCTGAGTGATTTTACACTGTTGGTGGGAATATAAATTGGTTCAATCATTATGGAAGACAGTGTGGTAATTCCTCACAGACCTAGAGCCAAAAAAACTATGAAATGCAATTCTTTTTTTTTTGAGATGGAGTCTTGCTCTGTCACCCAGGTTAGAGTGTAATGGCCCAATCTCGGCTCGCTGCAACCTCCGCCTCCTGGGCTCAAGCGATTCTCCCACCTCAGCCTCCTGAGTAGCTAGGATTACAGGTATCTGCCACCATGCCTGGCTAATTTTTGTATTTTTAGTAGAGATGGGGTTTCACCATGTTGGTCAGGCTGGTCTCCAACTCTTGACTTCAGGTGATCCACCCACCTCGGCCACCCAAAGTGCTGGGATTACAGGCATGAGCTACCATGCCCAGCTGAAGTGTGATGCTTTTCTTTTTTAAAAAATTATACTTTTAAGTTCCAGGATACAAGTGCAGAACATGTAGGTTTGTTATATAGGTATACATGTGCTATGGCGATTGGCTGCACCCATGAACCTGTCATCTACATTAGGTATTTCTCCTAATGCTATCCCTTCCCTAACTTCCCACCCCCCCCAACAGGCCCTGGTATGTGATGTTCCCTTCCTCGTGTCCATGTGTTCTCATTGTTCGACTCCCACATATAAGTGAGAACATGTGGTGTTTGTTTTTCTGTTTTTGTGTTAGTTTGCTGAGAATGATGGTTTCTGGCTTCATCCATGTCCCTGTAAAGGACATGAACTCATCCTTTTTCATGGCTACATAGTATTTCATGGTGTACATCTGCCACATTTTCTTTATCCAATTTATCATTGATGGGCTTCTGGGTTGGTTCCAAGTCTTTGCTATTGTGATCAGTACTGCAATACACATATGTGTACATGTGTCTTTATAGTAGAATGATTTATAATCTTTTGGGTATATATCCAGTAATGGGATTTCTAGGTCAAATGGTATTTCTGGTTCTAGATCCTGAGGAATTGCCACACTATCTTCCACAATGGTTGAACTAATTTACACTTTCACCAACAAATGGAAAACATTCCAAGCTCATGGATAGAAAGAATCAATGTTGTGAAAATGGCCATACTGCCTGAAGTAATTCATAGAATCAATGCTATCTCCATCAAGTTACCATTGACTTTGTTCACAGAATTAGAAAAAAAACCACTTTAAGTATTTCATGTGAAACCCAACAAAAGCCCATATAGCCAAGACAATCCCAATTAAAAAGAACAAAACTGGAGGCATCACACTACCGGACTTCAAACTATACTACAAGGCTACAGTAACCAAACAGCACGATACTGGCACCAGAACAGATATATAGATCAATGGAACAAAGCAGAGGCCTCAGAAATAACACCACACATCTTCAACCATCTGATCTTTGACAAACCTATGAAAACAAGCAATGGGGAAAGGATTCCCTATTTAATAAGTGGTGGTGGGCCACATGTTTTCACTCATAAGTGGGTGTTGAACAATGACAACACATGGACACAGGGAGAGGAACATCACACACTGGGGCCTGTTGGGGGGTGGGGGGACTAGGGGAGGGAATACAGGGGGTGGGGGTATTGGGGAAGGAAAACGTTAGGAGAAATACTTAATGTAGGTGACAGAGGGATGGATGCAGCAAACTACTATGGCATATGTATACCTATGTAACAATCCTGCACGATCTGCACATGTGCCCCAGAACTGAAAGTATAGTTAAATAAATAAATAAATAAATAAATAAATAAATGATATTGGGAGAACTGGATAGTCATATAGGAAGTATGATTCTTAAGAGGATCTCTGTAAGAGGAATTGGGAGACAATCATCCCTTTAACATCATGACTTCTCATCACTGATATGACAACTCCCTGGACATTAAGAGGTCTAGATTATGAGTCTATAATATAAGTCTGTAAAACTCACCTATAGTATGAGTCTTGTGTTCTGGGTTTGAGAAAGTCATGGAGTTAGAAGGAATCCCTTTCATCTTGGTCCTTCATGTATAAGCTTCCATCATTCCCATGATGAGGGAGTTCTGGAAGGGGGCACAATGCTTTAGAAGGAGGGATCATACTGGAATCTTGAGTATTCATGATAAAGTTGCACTTTTGTGGAGCTGCCCGTAGTGCTTTTGGTTGAGAGACTAAGATAAGTCCCCCAATCACATTGTCTCATGTGAGCCTTGTGATTTATTTACCCTCTATTTAAGAGATTAGTATACTAATGCTCAGAAAGATTGACTTGCCTACATTTGTTTTTGACTAGTAGGACAGACCTGGACTGAAATTCTTTTTTTTTTCCTTCTCATCTTGTTTATTTGTCATTGTACATACAGTCATAATCAATTGACTCTTGAAACACACACGCACACACACACACACACACACGCTCACAAACACAGAAACCACTATTATTTTTTCCAATACATAACTAGTTTCCTAACCTATTCTCATACATATACCACACCTCTACTTGCCTCTCGATATGCACCACACACACACACATGCAAACTCTGCAGCTTATCCTTTAGAACAGCTGTGTATTATAAGACATAAGTTTTTAAAAACAACTGCCTTGGTTATGGCAGTCATTGTCTTAACATGGGCAACCTCTTAATATACAAGGAGCTGTCATATCAGCAATGAGAAGTCATAGTACCAAGGAAATAAATGTCTCCAAATTCCTCTTACAGAGGTCCCCTTAAGTATCACACTTCATTTGGATATGTACTATTTTATATATTCATTAGTCATATTTTTTCTTTTAAGAATTGCCATATCAAATTTTTGCCTGTATTTCTTTGGATTTCTTTGCTTGTTTTCTTATACTTGCTCTGTAGAAACACTTTAAATATTAAGGAGGTCAAACATTTGTAAGTGTGTGTGTGTATGTGTGTGTGTGGGGGTGCCCAAAAAAATAGTTTTCCCTACTTTGAAAAAACAAACAAAAAAGAATCACACTTCATGGTATTTCTAGTTCTAGGTCTTTGAGGAATCACCACACTGTCTTCCACAATGGTTAATTTATATTCCTGTGAAATGTGTAAAAGTGTTACTATCTCTCTGCAGTCCCACCAGCATCTGTTGTTTCTTGACTTTTTAATAATCACCATTCTGTCTGGTGTGAGATTGTATCTCATTGTGGTTTTGATTTGCATTTCCATAATGATCAGCGATGTTGCGCTTTCTTCCTATGTTTTTGGCCGCATAAATGTCTTCTTTCCAGCAGTGTCTGTTCATGTCCTTTGCCCACTTTTTAATGGGGTTGTTTGTTTTCTCTTCTTATAAATTTGTTTAAGTTCCTTGTACACTCTGGATATTAGACCTTTGTCAGATGGACAGGTTGCAAATATTTTCTCCCATTCTGCAGGTTGTCTGTTCACTCTGATGATCGTTTCTTTTGCTATGCAGACGCTCTTTAATTAGATTCCATTTGTCAATTTTTGCATAGAAATATCATTTGATTCAGCAATACCATTATGGAGTATATACTCAAAGGAATATAAATAATTCTATTATAACATAAACATGTATGCACACATATGTTCAGTGCAGCCGTATTCACAATAGCAAAGACATGGAATCAACCCAAATGCCTATCAGTGATAGACTGGATAAAGATAATGTGGTACATATACACCATGGAGTACTATGCAGCCATAAAGAGGAATGAGATCATGTCCTTTGCAGGGACATGGATGGATCTGGAAGCTATTATCCTCAGGAAGCTGACACAGGAACAGAAAACCAAACACTCTGTGTTCTCAATCATAAGTAGGAGCTGAACAATGAGAACAAATGGACACAGGGAGGGGAACAACACACACTGGGGCCTGTCTGGGGTGGGGAGTGGGAGGAGGGAGAACATCAGGAAAAATAGCTAATGCATGCTGGGCTTAACACTTAAGTGATGGGTTGATAGGTGCAGCAAACCCCCACGGCTCACATTTATCTATGTAACAAATCTGTACTTCCTGCACATGTAACCCAGAACTTCAAATAAAATTTAAAAAAATAAAAAAAATCGCACTTCATGTGTAATTGCAGGCTATTCTGTCCATAGATTGGCCACTTGAGTTGGAGTTGATAGTTAAAAAGCAATGTTTGATGTAAATGTCCAAAACCTTGTCCCCACTCCAGGCTTGAGACCTATTTTTCTTTAAGTCTACTGGGTCTAAATCAACTTAGTTGCAATATATGTCTAGAATCTTATGGGATTGTGGAGTTCTTTCAAACTCTCTTAACAATAGTTGAATTCCCATAAATAATTGCTCACTTTAGCTGAGCACTTACATTGTGCTTGTTGGCATCTTCAAGCATTTTTTTATGAATTAAATCCTTTAATCCTCATAACACACAGCAGTTGAAGAACATGTCTAAGGTCCCATGGTTAGTAAGTGGCAGAATTTTAGCCACTAGGCTGCACTGCCCAGTGGATCAATTCTTGTATTGACTTAGTGGATAACTTTCTCAACCAGAGAAAAATATGAAATGCCAGATGTTGTCAGCACTCACTGCATAGAAGCCAGAGCAAAATTTTACAGCAGAGTGGCAGGATTGAGACGACAAGCATGTTGCCCTCCCACCCCCGGGGAGAAGCTATCTTTGAGAATGTCATTTCATAACAGGTGACACTTGGTGATAACTTTGTTTCCACATTCTTATGAACAGATTCTACAAACCCTGAAAGTTATTAGGAGTCATTTGCTACTACAGCATAATCCAGCCCATTCTGACTGATGCAGTCTTGTTTACCAAAATGCTTATTTTAGAGATGAGGAAATTGAGGCCCTGAGGGATTAAGAAGCTTTATCAAAAACTCTCATTACCTAGGGTGAGGATCAGGGATCAGAACCCTGCTCCCCTGTAATTGCCCAAATATTCCAAAGAAAAACCAAAATAACAAACATAATTTCTGGAGTGAGATGCTTACACGGTCCCAATAAAATTTCATTTATTTAAGATCATAAAACTACTACTTGAAAAGTTATGTGGTGCTTTTCCCCTTTGAGAACAGATAAGAAGTGATAAGTATTCTTCCCATATTTCATGAATGTCACAATCATTCAGAAGCCTGTATGTGGTTATTAGAATGTTTGCCTTTGTTAAGCCTGCTTGCATGTCTAGACAAGAATATCAGATATTAATTTTGATTTCAGTATATCTAAAGTTTGACTTATATGACTAATTAAGTCATATAAGAAAACCAGCAGGCAGAAAACAAAGCAAGCTTTTAAAAAAGTGACAAAGGACAGACATGATTACACAAATACTAATCCCAAAAACAACCTAGTGAAAAGAAGAGATTATGATTTATAATTTGAAAACATCATCACTGGGGCCCTTTTCTCTTAGACATCGTGTGTTCCTCTTACATCATCAGCTTCTGCTGGTGGATTCACCATCTGTGGATTTAGTTGCTCAGCTTATAACACTCATTTTGTTCATATCCCTACTTTACCTCACCTAGCCACACATTCCTATATAACTACCATCCAGTCTTCCTCCTTCTTTCCTTTCTCATTCATAGTTCTTGAAGTTGCTACTCAACCATTGTCACATCCTTGTCTTATAGTCACTTCCTCTAACAACTTTAATCCTTCCTCCTTCCCTTCCTCCTTTCCTTCCTTCCTGGCTTGCTTCCCTTATGAACACCAAGTACATGACAGGTAGTATACTAGATACTTGGGATTCAGTGTGAGATAAGACAGACATGGTTTTTACTGTCACAGGGTAACAGTCTGGTGAATATAAACAAATGCAAAGGGAATTGCCACACAGTGTGACAAATGTCCAGCATGTAGTTGAAACACATAAGAGTGGAGAAAAGAGAAACTTGAGTAGTCATGGACACCTTCCTAGAGGACTGAACTATTGAGACTAAAGAATGTGGGAGTTGGGAGAGCACACTAGAAAGCCTCTTGGGGTGGGTAGACACTTCTTTCCCTATCCTCAAGCTTATTAAGTTGTAGATGTAACACACTTACCTGACACTGGCTTTGAGTCTTAATTGAACTCCCTTGAATCATGGGTCTAGCAGAACGCTATGCCTATGGGACATCTTTAACACTATGTGTGAATGGTGCATCACAGAACTGTAGAAACACACATTGCATGTAACTCCTCTGCTCACATGAAGTCTCTATTGTTCCATTGCACTGCACTTATGAAACACAAATTCAAATATAAAATTATTAAGTTCAGTCAGTGACAGCCAAGCATTAAATCAAGGTTTGTGCTTCTAAGTGCCAGGCTCTGCGTGAATGTGCAGGCTGCACACCCAAGAAGCTGTCCTTGCCTAACACAGCGGTCTTGTTTATGTTCTCTCCCTTCTTCTCCAAGCTCTTCCCCACCTACTTTCACACCCAGCAGCAACTGGAGAAGAAAGGGAGAGTGAAAGTAATAGGTTACTATGGATTGTTAAAGCACAATTAATTGGAACTTAGCTCCAAAGAAATTAATGACCTCTTGTTTCATCCCCAAGCCACAGGCCTGATTTCTTCCCTTTTTACCACTGGGCTCTAAAAGCTTCTTGCCTGAATGAGGACACCATGCTAATCCATATAAGCCTCTTCCTAGTTGTACAGGGATACAAACTGTTGCTTCTGGTTCATATGTCTTTCTCTAAGTAATTAGCTATTTTTCAATATAAATATTTCTCTTTCTCTGCACATGCACACATACACACACATATATACACATTTCTGGTTACATAAGAAATCATGTTTATTGTAAAGTAATTCAAAATGCTGAATAAAGATTAAAACAATCATTTCTAATCTCACCATTTACATGTAATGATTATGTACATTTTTAGTGTATATGCTTTCAGGAAATTTTCTATTTACATAAACTGTTTTTATAAAGATAAGTTCTTACTATATAAACTATTTTGTAACTTATTTTTTCCTTAACACTATATTGCAAATTTACTTCAAAATCCATAAATATAGATCAATATCGTCATTTTTAAGACTAAGTTTTATTTTATTGGTAGGCCATAATTTATTTAACCAGTCCTTTATTGATGAACAGTTAGATTGGTTATGATGTTTGGCTATACTCCAGAATATATTCTCTTATATATGTATTATTACTATATCCCTCAGAATATATTCTTTTATATACATACATATGCATATATATAATTTTGTGACTAAATTAGTTCTCCAGAATAATATATCCTCTGTCTCTCTCTCTCTCTCTCATCTATCTATCATCATCACCTGATTATTTCCTTTATACAAATCCTAAAAGTGACATTGCTGGTGGTATATAATTCTTATTGTCAAATCTTAACTTGTATAACAACCTCTTAGAAGTTACAGTTGTTAGCAAAACACAAAAATAAATAAGAATCCATGTTCTTGAACTGCCTTTGTTTCCATAAAACCTTCCTTAGAACCATGGTCTTCACACCTACTTGGCTTTAGTAGCCCCTATGGTGGCTGAACACTTGTTCTTCTTGTTCTCCAGCATGATCCAAATAGTCAACTGCTGACTTCCCACTTATTATAGTCTAGCAATTAAAACCCTTGGAGACAGGAACAGCTAATTGAACCAAACATTTTAAGTTCTGGCTCAAATGCATGCTCATTCACTTTTTGTGTAAAATGCCTGCATTGTATTTTTCAGATGTATCTCAATTTTTTTTGTGGAGTTCCAGACATACTTCACTCAGGATTATGCACAAACGGCATGGATCCATTCCATTGTAGATTGTGTGACCATGCTCTGTGGTGAGTATCACTTATTACTGGCCATGCTTGAACTGTATATAACAGTGAAGTTCCACTGACTTTGATTACTAGTTTTCCTAAGTAGAAGGGCTACATTAAAAACTGGCCAGAACTACATGATATAAAGAAGAGACCAATCCTACTTTCATCCAAAGCCAACCAGACTTGCTCTTGTAATTGATAGTCTTGGCTGATGTCAGGTAGACCAGTTACATAATACACTCAAAAGAACACATACGATTTGGTTATTTCTGATTTTAGAAGCAATTTAGAGTGTATGCTTGGCTTCTCTCTTCCAAATGCTATGGCCTTCTCATTCTCCAGTTATACAGTTATTGGATAGTACCATGAGCTATTTCTATATAATCTCCTTCAATGAGTGCCAACAGTGTTGTATCACATCTCAAGTCTTGGATTGCATTCTGTTCCCTTTTTGAGGGTTTGAAATTTGACTGATGGATTTCATCTTTTTCATGTATAAATCTTCATGCTTAGAGAAGTATTGGAGAAGGACAGAATTGTATAGTCATGAGATAAACATATTCACCTATTCATTATGGCTGTGATTTAATTAAGGAAACTCTGAAGATGTTATATAAGGCATGTAGGGTATTCTAGAAATGTATGGAATTAACATTCCATCTATGTAGTAGAGGACAACAAAGCTGACTTTTTTTAAAAAATGTTTCAAACTAACATTATTAAATTGATGTCTTAGAGAGTTTCTAAGATTGAATCAAAAATTGTTTGTAGCCTAGACTCAATCTTTCCATTTAAATGAGTTCTGAGTATTTTAGGAAATTTTCATCTCCTCAAGCCATGTTTTAGTGGCAAAAGGGAAATAACACCTGTGTTCAGTAACTCATAATAATCATTTTATTCCATTCTAGGTACTGACTCATATTTCTTTTTGGAAAAAAATACACATACTCAGGAATCAGTTGAATTGTACTGAAATGTATAATATTTGTTTGATTTGGAGGAAGTTGAGAGCAGTTCTAAGACTAAAAGCAGGTTTCATGAGAAGGCTAAATCAACTCAACTCTTTCAACTAATAAGAATGTCTTAAGAGATCAAAAAATCATATATTTGAGTTTTAGAATCTTTTTTTTTTAAACCACTTGATTTTCAGGGTCTCATTATTCACAGCCTTTGTGTCAGCATGCTAAAGAAGCCATGTTTGTCTTCTCAGAAGATAAAGGTGATTCATTTCCCTCACTGCTATCTTTTGGAGGAAATTCATAATTTCCCAAATAGGAGGAAATGACCTTAGGTGACCAATATGGTTATAATGACTGTGTGAAGCTTTGAGGAGGGTTGTCAGAAGCAACATGTTTAAATTCTATGAAAGACCAAGATGACTGTTGTACACAGTTACCATATACCCATCTACTCACTTTGTGACATAGTATTAGAACATTAAAGTTCCGAGTATGGATGAGAGTCTGCAGAATCACATCTGGGACACCCACTGGAAACAGACCTGCTCTGTGATGAACAGAGAGGCTAACATTTGAGTTGGCTCCCAATTTCAGTATGATCGATACAAAAATGATCATACTCTACAGACACCCAGAGAATCAGTTCTTCTGATCTTGCTACTAAGAGTTATTGATGTCAGCATAAATTTTTCCTTAGAAAGAAATTCACATGGCTTCCTCACCCATCACTGCTGCCATTAGTGTGAGAGACTCAAAGAGTAAGGGGGTGAAATAACCTCACACTTGGTGTTAGGTACTTTTGTTGGTGACCTTAGGCATTCCATATGCCCCTGAGCTTCTGTTCCTTTTTGGCCTGTTCTAGCTTTTCTTAATATTCTATGAGCCTTGAAGTCAACAAAATTCTGATACATTGGTAAGTCACAAATCAAGTGAGATCAACCAAAATATCACCATGGCATGAAGCGTTTTTCTTAGATTTTCTGGGCTTTGATAGCTCATCCACAGGGCATGCTGAAGGCTGAAAGCAGTGCCAGATTGTGAATTTTGTCTATGATCTCTTGCCCTGGTTTTTTGCCATATAACACTGCTGGTCACATGGTGTTGTCCACTTTCTTTCTCCAATTAACTGTCACCTTTATTGCTAATGATATATGATCAATACTATAGTAAACAACCCAGTACAAGTGACATGTAATTTAGAGAAAGTTGATCAACTGTTTAAAAAACACCCTACAATCCTGCCATTATGATAGAATGAAGAGGAATGAGCACTGAAATGCAGGTCAGGAGATTTGAGTTCCATTTCAGCTCTGATACTTATTATCTGTGGGACCATGGACAAGTTACTTCCTTTCTCTGGGCCTTAGTTTCCAAAGCTTCAGAATTAAAAGGGTGGGCTCAATGCCTTAAAGGTTCTCTGCTGTGTCAATGCAGCACCACAGCCTTTTCACAGTACTCTCAAGGCTTTTCTGTTGAACCTATTTCTTATTGTTTTTGAAGCTCCACTTGGGAGTGTTGTGAGTAACCATTTATCCTGTCAAGTGGGAATCATGCTAGGTGGCTTGCTTGCATCTACTGGACTCATCCTGGGCTCATTTGCCACAAGTCTGAAGCATCTCTACCTCACTCTGGGAGTTCTTACAGGTAAGGGCACTTTGTGTCACCCTACTCCATCCAGGGGTTGCCAAGCCAACAGAGAAGTAATTCATAAAATATTCATTTTGTTAGATGCATAATTTACTTGACCTAGCTGATGTCTACCTACCTAGCAGTTAAACAGAGCTGGAAATGAGATTACACTACCCTAATGAAAATGCATCACCAATTTAATTCAGCCAGATGGTAAAAGCAACACAGCTTCCTCTTTGGAATTAGTGTATGGCTGAGATTCTGTATTCAGAAGAAACAACATGTTACCCAGGGCAACATGAATTTTCAGCAATGGTCATTCTTCCAACCATTGCCAAGACATTAAAATACTATTGATGGTCAATCTGCATTGCTCTGACTTTATAGGAAATACCACTGTCTAATAAATGGGAGTTTCTAATTTTAAAAAGCCCTTTATTGTGAATATTCTTATATTATACATTCTTTCTCAATGCTATGGAAGTATCACTTTAGCAAATTATAATGAATCCCGTGGGAAAAAAGCAACATGTACATTCAATAAATCACACTTACAGGGACTGCATAGGGAACAAGATGAGTTGGCTGGTGGGACTGTAGTAGGAGTTTGCCCGTCACTCAAAGAGGTGTGGAGAGTAGCACCAACTCCTGCCTGGGCTTTGGGCCATTGGTGTGGCATGAATCAGGTCAATAAACGACATAACCTCATAGTGAGGCTATAAATTTGGCTGTGTTAGCTAAAGAAGGTACATCCACCCCTAAAAACCCCAAAGAGCCTGACTGCTGCTATGGTGACCAATGGATCCTAGTTTACCATGCAGTGTCCTGGTTTTAACATTGAAAGTCCCACATCCGGAAACCCTTCTGGGTCCAGGCAACTCTGGGTTGCTGGATACCCTGAACTGCAGATGGAAGCAGGAGCTTCTGAGGGTGGTTCTCCTTTTCCTTCTCTGACATCCTAGCTGCCATAAAGTCCAGGCTCAAAGCCCTTCAAATTTTCTTTACTTAAAAAGTAATAGAAGTTGACTGTTTTTTAAGACAGGGTATATCTAGCTCTGTCCTCAGGTTGGAGTGCATTGGCACAATCTCAGCTGCAACCTCTGTCTCTTGGGCTCAAGTCATCCTCCCCACTCAGTCTCCTAAGCAGCTGAGACTACAGGCACATGCCACCACACCTGGCTAATTTTTATAGTTGTTTTTTTTTTTTTTTTTTTTTTTTTTTTGCAGAGGTAGGGTTTTGCCATATTGCCTAGGCTATTCTCAAACTCCTGAGCTCAAGTCATCTGCCTGCCCTAGCCACCCAAAGTGCTGGGATTACAGGCATGAGCCACTGCACCCAGGCCAAAAGTTGAAGGTCTTTAAAAAGCTTTCTAGACTGTCAACATTTGTCTACTGACCTTAAGAGGTATTTTCACATATGAAAATATACATTGCTATGTTCACATATAAAATTGGGATGATGTTTCCCAACTTCGTAAAATTACCCTGGAATTTTCATAGTTATATATGCTATTTGAATCCAAATTCCAGAGTGGTCACAGATTATCAGTGTTGTGTCTTCATAGGCAGTGAAATGTTTAGGCAATTGTCTGGATACTTTAAGTTTAAAAAGGGAGGAGGGATCAGTTTCCTTGGTTGGCATTATCCAAATTTTCTATTGAATTCCAATTTAGTTTGTATGATGATTTTCATGTTCCTCATTTGATTTTGGTTATGAAGTCATATTTCCTTAAGGGTACACTCCCTAAGACGTAAATCATATATATCCTACATTTTCTAAATTGTGAATGACTGGTGAAGGGAGACTCATTTTAAGCTTGATGTAAAAAGCAGCTTTAAAAGAGTTTAATGAAAGATCAGATTCTCTTTAATAAAATAATTGCATTCTGAGATATTTTCTCCCATGGGCTGTTTTGGTACACCAGCACTCATAGAGTTCTCTTTATCCCCAGGTCTTGGATTTGCACTTTGTTACTCTCCAGCTATTGCCATGGTTGGCAAGTACTTCAACAGACGGAAAGCCCTTGCTTATGGGATCGCCATGTCAGGAAGTGGCATTGGCACCTTCATCCTGGCTCCTGTGGTTCAGCTCCTTATTGAACAGTTTTCCTGGCGGGGAGCCTTACTCATTCTTGGGGGCTTCGTCTTGAATCTCTGTGTTTGTGGTGCCTTGATGAGGCCGATTACTCTTGAAGAGGACCACACAACTCCAGAGCAGAACCATGTCTGTAGAACTCAGAAAGAAGGCTTGAAGCGGGTGTCTCTGTATTCATCTTTGACCAAAGAATGGGCACAGGCTTGCCTTTGTTGCTGTTTGCAGCAGGAATATAGGTTTTTACTGATGTCAGACTTTGTTGTGCTGGCCATCTCCATTCTGTTTATGGCTTATGGCTGCAGCCCTCTCTTTGTGTACTTGGTGCCTTATGCTTTGAGTGTTGGAGTGAGTCATCAGCAAGCTGCTTTTCTTATGTCCATACTTGGAGTGATTGACATTATTGGCAACATCACATTTGGATGGCTGACCAACAGAAGGTAAAATTCATGAAACCACAATTGGTTCCCCACCAGGGGACTTTAAGCCTTGAGTTTCTCCTAGCCCCTTACCATGTGAAATACCTAGGTCTGAATAATGTTAACTAGTCTGCAGTATCTGAAGGCATCTCCCTTGCTGGTTCTTCTAGATGAGAGATTGGCGAAATTTTCTATAAAGGGACGGATAGTAAACATTTTTGGCTTTGTAGGCCATGTGTTCTTTGTCACAACTACCCAACTCTGCTATTATAGTACAAAACAGCCCCAGACAATATGCAAACAAAAGAGAGTGGCTATGTTCCAATAAGACTTTATGCACACTGAAAGGTAAATTTTTCTTATAATTTTCTTGTGTCACAAAATATTTTTATTTTGATTTTTTCCAACCATTTTAAAATAAAAAAACATTCTTAGTTTACAGGTAATACAAAAAAAGGTTATGGGCCAGATGTGTCTCAATTGCAGAGGCCTAGGGTGACAACAAGTTCTGGTGGTGGATTTAATTCCATCCCAAGATAAGTCAGTCCTCAAGCAAGACACCTTCTGGCTGGGTGTGGTGGTGTTAGTTTCTTTTGAACCACTCCAGATTGACTAGCAATGGAAAAAGGAGCAGAATCCAGTTCAGGCAGGAGGATCAGGTGCAATGATAACACATTATTTGTAGTCTCATATTTATGTTTGACAGTGCAAACTGCAAATAATTTCCTTGTAATTATAGGCTTAGAAACCAAAGTTATAAGAAATCTACCAAGTAATTTCTTCAGCAAATGCTCATCTGTTCGGACTGAAGAGTGCAGGCTACTCATATTCTCTTAAATGATGAACTATTCACACTTGAGATGTGACCTGCAGAGCTAATACCATCATGTAGCTTCTGACAAATTATGTTTTTGGTAATTAATCAGGATCCAACTGCCATTCTCCAGTGTTATGAATATAATATTTAGTACTATTTCCACATTTTTAATTGTTACAGAAGAAGGAGAAGAGCAAAGGGTACCTATTTTCACAATCAAATAACTCGGCAAGATAATGGAGGCACGTCTAGTCTGAGGCATAATGGAGGCATGTCTAGTCTGAGGCATACAAGACCTAAGTTCTTGAGCTGGCTCTGCTCCTTATTAACACTGTGACCTACAGAAAGTCGCCTAACCCTCAGATCCTCATTTTACCCTCTATCTGTAAAATGAGCCAGTGCAATATTTGCCTGTTGACCTTATATGGTTTTGTGAGGTTCAAATGAGGCTTTGGGTAGAAAAATGTAAAACATAAGCTGTTGAAGCTGACATTATACAGAGTCTTTGAAACAATGGATATCATAGATGGATTTGAAGTTATGGGGAAAATTCCACTTCAGAAATCTTGAAATAAGACTTTGTCCTATTCCAAGACCTCCATTATCTCTGGCAAATCATTTTAATGTCTTTGTATTACAGTTTCGCCTTTGTGTAACCACTTGAGTTATTGAGTATTTATGGTCTATGATGTGCCAGATACCAATGGATAACATGACTAAAAGCCTCTAATATGGTAGACTGCTAGGAAAATTAGCCTCTGGTTGCTTTACGTCAAGCTTGTCCAACCTGCGGCCCATGGGCTGCATGCAGCCCAGGACAGCTGTGAACATGGTCCAACACAAATTTGTAAACTTTCTTAACAACATTTTGAGATTTATGCACATCCACCCCCCCTTTTTTTTTTTTTTAGTTCATCAGCTATCATTAGTGTTAGTTTATTTGACGTGTGGCCCATGACAATTCTTCTTCCGATGTGGCCTAGGGAAGCCAAAAGAGTGGACACCCCTGCTCTACATGTTATTTCATGACTACTTTTAGAGTGACCCTATGAGATAGATAACCTTTCCATTTTATAGCTAAAGAAATTAAGTTAGGCAGGCAGTGAGTGGTAGAACTAGTTTTAATATTCTGCCTTTCTAATTTTGGAGCATATATTCTTTCTACCATACCATGCTTCCTGGAGAGATGAATTCTTACATTTGCATAAAAGAAGGATAGAAAGACAGCATAGATAACATACAATGGGAACGGTATCGCTATAAATAACTGCAAGGCTTACTGCTGCGTAGCAGTGGTTCTGAAGCTCTTTTACAGAATGTGTACATCTTGTACTCATTTTTGTTCTTCACATCTACAGGTGTCTGAAGAATTACCAGTATGTTTGCTACCTCTTTGCTGTGGGAATGGATGGGCTCTGCTATCTCTGCCTCCCAATGCTTCAAAGTCTCCCTCTGCTTGTGCCTTTCTCTTGTACCTTTGGCTACTTTGATGGTGCCTATGTGACCTTGATCCCAGTAGTGACTGCAGAGATAGTGGGGACCACCTCTTTGTCATCAGCGCTTGGTGTGGTGTACTTCCTTCACGCAGTGCCGTACTTGGTGAGCCCACCCATTGCAGGTAAGTTTCCAGAGAGAAACCCCAATCACCTCTTCTCTTTGGCATATTGATGTGAAAACAGCAAACCCACATGCAGTCAATGAGAAGGATTGTCAAGAGAGCTGGGGAAAAGTGAAAGAGAAAAGGGATATAAGAGTTCCCAAAACCATCATGGTTCCACCTACATCCTTGTTTTATAATCTTTTTCCAACCAAGTAGGAACCTTAGCCTACCTGGAAAGAGTAGGTCCCAAATTAGGGTCTTGATTCCTTTCCATATTAATGATGGGAACAGGGGGATGGAGCAGTTGTTTAGCCTTATATAGATAAATAGGGCAAGCTGAGCATGGTGGCTCATGCCTGTAATCCTAGCATTTTGGGAGGCTGAGGCAGGCAGATTGCCTGAGCTCAGGAGTTCAAGACCAGCCTGGGCAACATGGTGAAACCCGAACTCTACTAAAATAAAAAAAAAATGTGCTGGGCATGGCAACATGCGCCTGTAGTCCCAACTGCTCCGGAGGCTGAGGCAGGAGAATTGTTTGAACCTGGGAGGCAGAGGTTGCAGTGATCCAATATCGTGCCACTGCACTCCAGTCTGAGCAAAAGAGCGAGACTCTGTCTCTAAACAAAGAATAAATAAATAAATAAATAAATAAATAAGTAGGGTACATTTACAGGGAAGTCTTGTGGGAGAAAAGGATTCCAATAGGGAAGTGGGTGATGAGGCTGAAATTATAAATGCCAGTGTCATAGTGGAGTGTTTTGGGTGCCAGACAAAGGGACTGGGCTCTATTCTTCATAGACTATAGGTAGTATTAAAGTTTTTATGTGAAAGGATAATATGGTCAAGCGTATGTGTTAGAAAATGTGATCTAGCAATTGATCTAGTAACTTAGGAGAGAGGTAGCTAAGATTCCATTCTAACAGTTTAGGAGGCAGCTGATAAAGGCCTGAGCTAGGGCTGCTGCAGCAGAAATGATGATGAGCTCTGGGGGAAAGGAGGAAGTTAAAAAAGAAATCAGCAGAATTTAGCCTACAGAGGTGAATGAGAGAAAGAAGTCAAGGGTGACTTAGAAAATAATGTCATGGTTGAAAAAATAAGGAAATGCAAGAAAGTGGCTTTGCCTGAAAAATAATGAATATGGTATTTAGATATGTTGAAATTTCTGAAATATACAGGTAAAAATGCATAATAGAGCTGTTTAAGGATGAAATGTGAGCTTTAATGGATGGCCTGATGTGTATATAGATTTGGGAGTCATCATATAAAGCACCTAGAATGTTTTATAAACTCGAAAATGCTATAGAGTAAAGCATGATTAAACAAATAATTTGACAAATACTTATTGCATTCATTAAATAAGTAATTCAACAAATATTTATTGCCTGTATAACTACTATTGTGTTTATCATGCTGGAGAGAGACAGCAGTAAACAGGCTGGAATCTGTTTCTCCTTCCTAAAGCATGTGATCTACACCACCTGCATGTGAGTTTCCTAGGAACCTTGTTAAAAATGCAGATTCCTTGACACTCCCACCTGTGATCTGAAGGTTCAGGATGAGTTCCAGAAATCTACATTTTCAGCCAACTTTGTTGTGATGCTCATGCATGGTAAAGAGTGAGAATTACTGTTCCATATTACTATCTGCCTAGATTAAAACTGAGAGCGTGAACAAGGGCTCTGCAGACAGGCAAAAGAGAAATAACCCAAAACTTTGCCTAGAAAGAAGGCAGGAAATTTTTTGAGGAAGGCAGGGTTTCTGCTATTAGCTATTATTGTGAATAGACAGTTGCAGGCTATTTCCAAATCCAGCAATTGGGGTGGAATAAACACAGCAAACTAGGGGAAATTGTGGCCACTTCACTGGTGCAGATGAAAAATCCTGGTCAGTTTAAACTCCGTGATATAGATCTTTGTGTTTAATGCTCTGTTTTTGAAAACTGCCCCCAAAATGTTCCCACATCCTCCCTCCATAGCCTATTTTAGTGTTCACCAACCTTTGGAAATAGTGTCATTCTGTCAAAGGTCACAGGACACAAATGAAATTGGGATTCATGAATCCTTTCCTCAGACCATGGCCTTTACTGGCAAATCAGATATTATATTCATTACTGGGAATTAGAGGATTAAGACATGAGTTCTTATTGTATCATTTTCTTATTTATTTACCTTTCAAATGGCAACTGTCTATGCAGTCTTTTCTGTTTGGTGCTATAGAAATGCACAGGTAAATGAAACAATAACTGAAATATTTGAGAGTAGTTTAAATTCAGGAAATTTTGTGGGGCTTATAACAACTTCTACATGCCGTTTTTGACTGATGGATGTGAAGTGGGTAACAGAAGAAACCATATACTTCTCTGATGAATTTTTTTTGGCAGATAAGGAAAGTTTGAAGGAATTTAAAAAACCTTTTGTTCATTATAAAATAATTGCCTGACAAAGTATAATGTTACCTGACTGGTTTTCTAATCATTGTGGCTACTATTTTGCATGTCATATGCCCTTGCTTTCCTCAAAATTTAGAGCTGAGATAGATATTGAGATTAATTTGTTGCAACAAGAGATAAAGAAAAAAAGCTACGTTGCATTTGCAACTTCTGAAATGGCTCAAAGTTCAGATTTTCAAACTGGATAGAGCACAATGGCTGAATCCAGTTGAAAATGTGGATTCTGCTTTGATGCATGTCATGCTACTCAAAATAGTGTATGGGTGTTGTGAATACTACTGGCATTTTGTACAAATGCATTTTCTTAATACCCTCGATAAATTATTCCAACTTTAATCATTTAAATGATGCTACTTTTAGCTTTCTACCAGATTTCATGGAGTTAATAGTAACTAATATTTATGTCGTGACTACCAGGTACATGATGCTCTTCCAAGTACTTTACATAACAACAATCAATTCACTTTAGAAGTTTTCCTGGAAAACAGAATGTATTTTTCAGTTGCTGCACAATATTTTTAGGTGACCTGCTTTTTCTCTCAAAATTACAATTGGCGGTGCTATCAATCCACTATTATCCTCACAAATAGTTAGAATTTGAGAGTGGGTAAACAATTGAATTTTCAGCTCAACAATATAATTTTGCTGTTGTTTGTTACAGGATGGCTGGTAGATACCACTGGCAGCTACACTGCGGCATTCCTCCTTTGTGGATTTTCAATGATATTTAGCTCTGTGTTGCTTGGCTTTGCTAGACTTGTAAAGAGAATGAGAAAAACCCAGCTGCAGTTCATTGCCAAAGAATCTGATCCCAAGCTGCAGCTATGGACCAATGGAGCAGTGGCTTATTCTGTGACAAGAGAATTAGATCAGAAACATGGGGAGTCTGTGGCTACAGCAGTGCCTGGTTACAGTCCCACGTGACCAATGACCTTGAGCCCCAGAATCTTCAGGTTTGAGATAGGTAGGGCCACCAGATTCCAGGGAAATTATTATTGTTTTGTTACCATATTAATATTTTTAAGGGAAAATAGCACATAAAAAAGAAAGCTGGACTAGCCCAGAGGCTTCTCATTTGGGATTTGTACTCATAACTGAACTCCTATCTTTTGGTCAATGGGCATGGCTCTATAAGAAATGTAAGGACACAACTGATATAATTAGCTGTAATTAGGGATAATTTCAAGGCATAACCAAAGCAGATGACACCGGGCAGCAGCTTTGATCCAGTCTCAGCCCCTTCATGTTCTCCCCTCAGAAAGAAAATGGAAACATTAACGTGTAGCTTTGCTTACCTTGTCTGATTTGGAGAAGGAAGGTCAGCTTGGGTGTGGTGGTAGAGAGCGAAGATGCCATACCTTTTTTATGGTGGAGTTTCTCATTAGGGTTTTACTTGGGGTTGTTAAAGGATACTTGAGATTCTTCAAAAGGTGGTGACTAATATAGAAAGAAACTCATTTTCTTTCTCTTAGTCTTCCAGCCAGCCCTTGCCTCTGCTCAGAAGGGTAGACACCACTTTGAGAATCCAAATAATCATGGAATGCTATGATTGGAATAGATCTTAAAGGGTGGCTGGTAAGATCTATTTGAAATTGTCCACTGGAAAACTGAAAGCTTTTTTCCTGAGACTGAGTCCCAAGCTCTCACCTTTGTTACCATCACATATAATACTTATTCTAAATTTAGCAGAACATCCTCAGGCACAGGGACAACCTCTCAATCTTACCTGAAATGTTAACAATACCAAAACTTCTCATTTTTACCTTTAGGGAAAAAGCTCTTAAACTGCAGACACATTCCTGTTAGGATGAAAAAATGTTGGCAGTATTCCAATTGTGCAGGAATTGAATTCTTGAATCAGCAGGTCTCTGGTGAGAGTTTTCTTTGCAGATCAGACATTTAGTTTCATCATTGCCCAAAAGAGGATTGGAGAGGGTCAGATATCTGAAATATATTATCCTAGAGATATTCTAAAGGTGTGATTATTTTCTTGCTGTGTTAATTCTTGTTCCATTGTCCACTGCTTTTCATCTCTTTACAGATAATAATTAGAAATCTACTTACTAGATTAGAAGTTTATTCACCCTCAAATACTCTACTTTTCTGTGGTTTGGGATAATTTCTGAGTCTTCAGATTGAAGAGGGAAGGGATGGAGGGAAGAAAATGTCCAGATCCCCCAGCTTGTCTCCATTTTAAGTCTAAAGAATTATAATCCCGAATCCCACATCATGTCACACCTGTAAATAGGGGCAAATTATGCAATCAATTTTAATCATTCTGTAGTTTAAAATCCAAATGTCAAGGAACTTTTTTGATCCTGAAGGCTATTTAATCCACTGTCTCCTATGAGGCCTCGCAAGTGCTGGGGGTAAAGAAAACAGCAATAAGGAAGATCCTGGGTTACTGTGTATGCTCAGCAAGAGAGCTTGCCTATCACTGGACTACTTCATAAAATCACATGTTAATACATTGCTTTCAGAATGAAATACTGACTGGATGTGATAAGAGAAAATGGTAGTATTTCATAGTTATTTTCAAAAGAGAAATTTAAATGTTATCTGTTTTCTCCTTACTTAGTTTAAGAATTTAGTTTTGCACCCCATTGACTTTGTCATTTGTAATTTTAAAAATATTTGGAAGATATCTGTAAAAAGTCAAAGTTAGAATGAAGTTATATCTGTTTGAAATAGCACTTTGCCCAAAATATCATTTTTTGAATTTTCAAGCCTAAAGATTTAAAAAAATATAAATAGTTACAAGTATTCTTATACATATTTTTTCATCATAATCACAGCCAAATTTTATGAGGTTCTGCAATATAATTCCTATGAAGTATTATAAGTACTTATGAAAAATGAGCATAATGATAAGGAACTTTTAAAGATTTTGTATGGGAGATTTGACTTTAAACATGTGTAGATTTGCATTTTGCTTTCTCTTTTGAAGCAGCATTTTTAGAAAAACAGTAAGAAAAATGTACATCTTAAGGTCTACTATTTTACATTTCTACACAGAACTTTACTATTAATGTTCCATGTGCCTATACTGTTTATTTTAAAACTGAGAAATTCATGGGAATGGTGTATTTTGTGGAATCAAGAACAAAATTGTAGGGGGATAATTTTACATCTTAAATTTTTCTTTCTACTACTGTAAGTTCTACTTTGGAATTATCTGAATAGAAAAGCAGAAGACATTATCTAACTTTGTAGATACACTGTATGATTGGGCTCTTTGTTCGATTGCAATTTCATAGATGAAATATTTATGCTAATATTTTCTTATTTCAAAAGCAAAATAAAATGAGTTTATTGCCCTGTGTTTGGAAAGACATTTTTACCTTGGACAAGGGTTTGGAGTGCATGGTGAGTGGACTTGTCTGGATCATGCTAAGATGTGGTCAGCATTTTAAGATGTGGTAAGTAATCGATTTGCAAAAACCAAAAGTCTTTATTGAATTTTCCAATGTATGAGTTATTGTGCCAGGCACTTCCTATGCACTGTCTCATTTAACTTCCCTAGTGACCTCTATTATTATCATTTTGTAGATGTGGAAACTGAGGCACCAGTTCCCACAGCTCGGTATCCACTGCATTCCTCTAGTGTGAAATCCTGTCAAACTGGGATGCTACTGATGCTGAAGCCTGGTGTCCTTCCCCTGTGCCTACTTGGATCATTATGTGGGTTCAAGAAGCTGTTTGGAAACAGACATTCCCGTGGGCAGATAAAATCCTGTGGATCATGCTTCAATCTTCTAATCAATATTGAAGGAAGATTCTAGATTGGAGATTTCCAGGAATTTTCCCAAGAGGTTCTATCAAAACCATTACTTCCAAGCTCAGTGGTTTAATTTGCTGTTGATTGATCCAGGCCTCTTTTGAAGAGCATTTAGGGTTGGCGGGTGATCCAGGCTTATTTTGGGGAGGATTGAGGGTTGGGAAGCATACTTTGTCCCAAAAGTGAGTTAGTTCCACTGTTTGTCTTCCACATTACCAAAGTCAGGCTTTCTCAGTTAGGATCTGAGTTCTTTTTGAAGTGCCTTTGCCATTGCTTTGATAATGAGAATGGTAATGTCTATTTGGCACTCCCCTTCCTGGTCCCAGCAGGTCTAATTCTGAAATTGTTTATTGAAAATGAAATAGTACAAATTAAGAGTAGACATCTGAGTTTCTTTTCTCACGCATGAAAGTTTGAGTTAAAAAAGGTGTGTTTTTGTTTTTTTTATAACTGTCAAACAATAGATTTTTATCTGTTGCCAGCTCAGCTGCTAATGACAGACAATTGAGATTTTGTCGCATAGCATAGAAAACTATTTGGTTGGGGGAGTGGGAAGATGTTAAATAATGATAAAAGGACTGACATTTAAGGCAAAACATTATGGTTATGGTACTTTTCAAACATATACAAAAGTAGAATGAGTAGTATACTCAACGTACCTACCCCCCACATCTACAATTATCTACCCATTATCCTCTCCCTTGATGAAGCGGTTTGAAATATATTAACATGAGCAGCACATGTTTCCTTCAGCTGCCAGGGAATAACTGAACTGGCAAGAATAATTTGTTCATGCTAATGAGGGACATGTGTGGTTAGTATCACCTATAAATGAGCCACATCGTTACTTACAAAGATGATTGGGGCCCCTTTCTTGCTATGGACTTTGAGCGTCTCAATTGAAGATTAAAATGTTCTCTTCCTGTCCCCAGCACCCTAAGGATCTATCTACCTGAGGTCTAGAGCTGCATTAAATTAAGTCAAAAGGGCCTTTTATTTTCTCTCCTGACCCAAGAGAGTCAATCCAATGACAAGGGATTTTGAGATTTAGATGAGAGTGATCGTTATTACTCTCATTATTCCTCTTAATTGTTTAAGGGTCAGAGGTCTTTCTGAGGGATCTGGGACCTAAGATTGGTCTAGAATTAAATAAGAAAGTTTATTTTTGACATTAAAAGTCTTTAGATTTAGCATTTCTAATGCAGCCCTTTTCAAGTTTTTCCATAAAAATGTTCCTTTTGTGATGGCAAATTAGGTCTTTTCCCATTGACCAGCGTAATGATGGAAGAGTTCAAGGACCTTGTCCTAGGAAAGATGAAAACCTATGCTCATTCTTGGATAGCCTGTTTTTACAACTGGGGCCAGATCAAGGTGTGGGTATGGGTCAAGGTGGGGAAGAGTTTGGGAGTGGGAGAAAGGATGTGGGCAGCCTCTGTGTGGTTACCTCAGGTTCGGCCCAAGTGCAGGTGGATGAATCCAGATATCAGACCCTAAGTTTCTAAAGCTCAAACTAGGACGAGCAAAGCCTATTTCAGAATCACAGAATTTATAGGGCTGGTATGAGCGTTCAGTGCCCACCCTGGACCTACGAGGTCACCCAGGGTGTAGTTCCCGCCATCAGGCTTCATTCCTCATACTCTACTATACTCTAGCGCCCAGTTTTTCTATTAGTTCCTCTAAGTACCAAGCCTTTCCTTTCTATCCCCCACCTTGGGGCATTTTGCACATGTTAATCCCTGTGTTCACTCTCTTCTCATATTTTGGGCCTCAGTTTAAATGTCACTGCCCTAGGAATCCATCTTTAATCACTGCCCTTATCTAAATTATACATCCCTCTCCCGCCCCTACCACCCACATTCTTCATGCTCATAGCACTGTTATTTTCCTTCAAAGAACATCTTTTAGTTACAATCGTATATATTGATGTGTGTGTTTATTTTAAAATTTCATCTGCTCCACAAAACCACAAGTTTTCTGAGGATAGGGATCATACTGACTTATTCACTGTTTAGAGCAGTGCCTGACCCAGAGCAGGCATTCAAAGAATACTTGGTGAATGAATAAATGAGTGCAAAGAACAAATGAATTTGAAAAAAGCTGCTAAGGAGAATTGTAACACTAGCAAGGGTGGGGCTGATTGAAGGGTTGGGGTGCAGGTTTGTTTGGGCCAAGTTGCTCTTGCATCTAGAACAGATAG